GTTTGTTGAACTAATCCCCATCCACCTTTCTCCGTAGTTAGTGGTACAAGACATCCTGGCCATCTTTTCTTCTTTTGCCAAGACAGCATTATCCCCCATTTTTGACAAGGTTGTTTCACTTGCTGCTTCTTCCAAAACAAAAATAAACCCTTAAAAAACTGGAGAGGCTCTCCACCGATCATTCTCAATCATGTGCCATGAACTCAAAGGAGACTTGTTTTCTCATGAAAATAAATACCATGGTGTTAACCTGCAAGCTTTCAAAGCTACCACAGATGAACTAGCTCTCATTCATAATCTAATATCTGATGAAGAAATCACCACCAACATGCTCAATGCATTAGGCCTAAATTTAAGAAGCTTGCTGTCATAACTCAAGCCCCCAATTACCTGATCAAGTTTAAGGAACTGAATAACAAGCTGAATTTGAGTATTATGCTTTCCTCAATAGTGAGGAATCTCGCATTAACAACACTGTCATAAATGCCAACTACATATTCCATCATAATACTCAGTCCAATGGTTATTCACAGCACAACAGTGTGATAATAACATCACCATCAACATGCTCAACAGCATTGGTCCTAAATTTGAGAAGCTAGACTGTTGTAATTCAAGCTTGTGATAATCCAATCATGTCCTAAGCATCATATATATACAAATATATATATATATATAATGCTTTCCTCAAATGCAAGGAATCTTGCAGTAACGACAAATATAAGAGCTGTTATACTTCAGCCCGAATACTTGGTTAACTCTCAACAACAACATTTTGGTTGCAACAACTGCTCCTGGTCAAGCCAAACTCGTGGGGCCAACAAAAACCAACATTCTCAGCATTGTTCCTAGTCCTCTTCAGCATCAATTATTTGTCAACTTCTATACAAACAAGGTTACTCAGGTAATGCTTGTCACCACTACGGGATACCTCTACCTCACAATCGATGTTGCTCCCTTCTACTTGCAACAGAAAAATCTAACCTTGCTGGTCGATTCTACAACCTACCACCATGTGACTGCTGATGATAATGGATCAGGTTTACCTATTCCAACTGTTCATTTGTCCAATTTAGCTCTTAAAAGTGTCCTTTGTGTCTCTTCTGTACAAAGAAATGAAATCTTTGTTCTCAGCTTTTCTAATCATGCGCCAATTGGAAACTTTCCATCTTCTTTTGCAGTGAAGGATCTTAGTACAGTAGAGGAAGTTCTGCAAGATAAAAAGTAGGATGCTGTGTAGAAATGGCCAACCTCAAGGTCCTTTGATTTCTTGACTACTCAAATAAGCTTGATGCTTACAACTGTCGTCTTGACCATCCATCGACTGCTATTTAAGCAAAACTAGCTAGGTCTAACCCCTTCCTGGTGTCTCTGTCTAATCTGGATAGGTGCTCTTGTAACCCTCAAAAAGTCAACAAAGTGCCCATTTGAAATTCAATTTCAATCAGTAATGCTCTAGCCTC